GCAACTATGAAGAAAGGCTTAGGATTTAGAGATTCGAGGTTTGGATTCAATCGGGGTGTAGGATCTTCAAAAACAGGCTTCTGAGACGTCACGAGGGGGAGTTTGGCCGCTTGGTTTACATGATAAACCAAACACAAAACCCTGAACCCAAACGCCAAAGCCCAAAACCCAAACCCTAAACCCCGAACGGTATAGCTAGGTTGCAGCATAACGCAAATAAAGTTCTCGTCGCAGGACGATTATAAGCCCCAAACCCCGAACCTCGAGCCCTCCCTAAACTCTATGGTAGAAGCCTAAAAGTTGGAAACCCAATAGCCTCAGTCCTTAAGAGTAATGTCCAGGGAATCCCAGCACTATTTGTCCTTAATCCGGTTTCCAACTTTCTGGGGTTTACCATAAGCCCTAAACCCTAAACCCACAACCCTAAAACCCAAAACCTAAACACTAAAACCCAAAGCCTAAACCCTAAACCCACAACCCTGAAGCTGACTTTTGTTTGAAGTCACCGGTATATGCAACGCACACACAACAGCCGAAGCGTGCAGAATGCAAACGAATGCAATGATCCTCCGGTTTGAGGGAGTTCGCAGATCCCAAGGCCAAAGTAAATCAGCAATCCTTCCTTGTCTCGTGGTTTAAGGTTTAAGCTTTATGTATAGCCGAACCAAATCAGACTACAACTTGTTGATGTTACGAAGCCTGGTGGGCACTGCAACTGACAGGTAGACAGACAGGGACGTTACAAGTGCCCTGAACCTCCAAAATCCTGAACCCACCAAACTCCTGAACCACCAAGAAGTAGTCAAGTTGCCCAAAAGCATAGAAACATATGAAGCCTTACAAGAGCTTCCTGGGGTAAAGTTTCAGCGCTCATCCCTGATCTAGCGACCATGCAGGCTAATTAGGCCATCAGCGCTGTGCACACTCGCCGAGGCCCCCGCTCCAGCGCCGTCCCTGGCCCGCAATCATGAGGATCTTGCTACTCAGGGCCTATATTGCGGTCATGTATCTTTCGAACCCCCTACCCCCAACTCTCATATAAATATCCGGTTCAAAGCCTGAACTTGACCGCTGCGTTTGGGCTTCAAAAAATATCCCTAAACCCTAAAACCTAAACCCTAAACCGTATAAACCATAGAACCATCCATCCGATCCAGCTCAGCCGTGAGCCCAAGTCTTAAACTCTCCGACTTCCGCTGTAGAAAAAAACAAAGCCACCCACCGTCAGTTGAAACTCATGGCGCGGATCCTCGAAAACTAGCACATCATTCTTCAGGGGTCCTGGACAGCATAACGATACCAACAAGACGAAAACAGTCATAGTCATAATGATGATGATAACAATAACGGTAACAGTAACAATGACAGCAACAATAGCAATAACAGTAACTACACTATTAATATTTACAAGCTTAATGATGATACTAATAATACTGGTAATAATAGTATGAGGAAGAACAGTAATGCTAAAGGCTTATCTTTGGGACCCTGAGCCACAGCCGTTGGGTCTCGGGGTTTAGGGTTCAGGGCTTCATGGGTTTGCGGTATCCATTAAAGCTTGAGCCCTCGACTCGAAACAGGTGGCCGAAACCCTGGCTTCGAAACTCGCCACCCGAGCACTACATAAAATCAGACTGTAGATTCCTTGTCGATCTTCCACGAAAGCCAAATTTCAAAAGTGGAAATTTCAAACAACCTCCAGGCCTTGAACCCCGAACCTTGCCATATCCCCACAAGCATAGAATCTAAGCTATAATGTATAGTTAGTATGTAACATATAATACATAATATTTATAAATATAAATACAAATATATATATATATATATATATATATACACACATACATATATATATATATATATATATATATATATATACGTATAATATAATAGATGAAATATAATATGTAGAAAATAATAATACAAATAGCAGCCCCTTCTGGGCCTTTCTTTGCCAACCGCGGCTGTCCGTGGCCTCCTCCTCTTCTTGGGACTCTTTGGGCTCCTCCTGCGGCTTTCTGAAGGGTTTAGGGTTTGGGGTTTAGGGGTTTGGGGGTTTAGGGTTAAGGGGTTTAGGGTTTAGGGTTCCCAGAGACTCCAATATCCCTTAGTTAAGGAATATTCCTTAAATCATATTAGAGATCCTGTTATAATTTAAGGTATATTCCTTAATCAAGGGATATTGGAGTCTCTGGGTTTGGGGTTTAGGGGTTTAGGGTTTGGGGGTTTAGGGTTAAGGGTCAAGGGTTTAGGAGCTAGGAGGTGCTGTTAAAGCCTTTGAACAATCTTAGTAGGTAAGATCCTCTTAAGCCCAATAAGAGCAAATATAACATGACGCAAAGCCCTAGCTAGTAAGGGTTTAGGTTTTAGGATTGGGGGTTAGGTTTAGGGTTGAGGGTTTAAGTTTCGGGTTTAAGCTTTCGGCTGTTTTCAGGCTCAGCTAAACAGCCCTAAACCCTAAAGTAAAGGCCATATAATCCTAAACCCTGAACCCTATAAAAGGCCCCATAACCCTAAAACCCTCAGCCCTAACCCCTAAGGTAAGTAAGAATCATGGCCCAACACCTACAAAAGATGAGTTATAAACGGACATTGTCAGGTAGGGCTTAGGACTTTAGAAGGACCTGTGAGGGTGCTTCAGGCGTTCCCTGCCCAGGGCTCCCGTAACCCAGAAACCCTGCATAAGCCCTGACGGGGATTCAGATTCCGATTCTTCAGCCTTTTTGCTACTGCCCAGCTCGGGCCCAAGAGTCGTCCTTTGGCTGTTGCACTCAGGCTGCGAGAGAACAAAACATATCCGATAGACTTCCTACACTGTGATCACGTGTGGCTGCTGTACAGTATCTTGGCTGATCAGATCAAGCGCCAGCCGAACGCTGAAACAGGTTTTGAAGTAGCCGGCGATCGGATATCGCAGCGCAAAGCGGAGGTTTAGCTTTAGGGCTTTATGGGAGTTTCCCAAAATAGGGGACCCTAATTAATATAGTGCCTGCAATAGTAGGATCCTTATTAACCCCAAAAGAAGGTATCCCTAATTTCCGGAAACTCCCTTATGGGTTTGAGGCTTAGGCTTTAACGGTTTAGGGTTTGGGATTCTGGTCCTCCAGCTTAGCAGCCTTCTTTGGTCGAACCTGGTCAGCAGGGAAGCCCTTGCACTTCGAGCAGTCTGTGCCGCCCGGCGGATCATGGGACTTAGTAAATAAGGTTATAAGTACCTTAACTGGAGTTATAAGTAATTAGCTATAAGCAGAGTTACCTTAATCATAACCCTAGTTACTAGTTGCTAAGTCTCATGATCCTTTAAGTAGGGCAGGCATGGTCCGAAAACTCACACCTGATTCCCGAGCCACGCAGTAAACCAGATCTCTGAAACCAGACCTGTGAACTTGGAACCATCTCAACCCTAACCCCGAAACCTGACGCTCTGAAACCCGAGAGTCTTGCAAAGCTAATCAAGGTTATTTTGCCGAGGTGATCGAGTGTCCTGTTACCAGCCCGGGCAAGTTCGCTTCAGAGTTTTCAATACCGCCAAACAAATGCCTGACGTGTTCATTCACTTCATTATGATATGTCGACCTAGGTCACAGGCACCATCACCCGAGTGTGCACCTCCCTCTCGATCATACGCATCCGTATCGTTAGCAGATGATGCTGGCCAACACCGTCGCCATTGCCGTCATTACTGTCGGCCCCGTGTTCACCACCAGCGCCATCACCACCATCATCATCATCACCATCTGCACAGTCAGCGTCATGACACAAGCTGAGGCCCACAACCTTCTATGAACCTCAGTTGATGAATCTCAGCTTACGGTTTCCCAGACCCCCGGGAGGATCTAGAAAGTAGATCCCCTAATTTGGGGCCCTATACTACTAAGGGTAGTTTATAGGAACCCCCATTAAGGTATCTACCCTAAACCCTCAACCCTACGACCCTATAGATCCCTTACAGGGACCCATAAAGGAACCCTTAAAAAGAACACCCATTGAGGGATCTAAATGTTGGATCCGGGGGTCTGGGTTAGGGTTTAGGATGCTACTATTTGCTTAAGAACCACCCAAAAATAAAAAATGATAACCCCTATATTATCCCTATAAGGAATAGTTTTTTTTTATTTTTTGGGGGTTCTTAAGCAAATAGTAGGATGGGATGCTCCCGGCCCGGGGCCTCTACCATCAGCTCGGGGGCCTTGGCCTTCCCAGACTGTCGCCTCACGAAAGCACACGGGACGGCGGCATGTATTCATGTATTATGGACCAAATATATATATATATATATATATATATATATTTATATGTATATATATATATATACCTGCATATCGATGTATGTATTTATGCAGGTATGTTGTATGAAAGTGTGCACGGGTTGTAGTATGTCTGAGTAGTCTGCATGCTTGTGTGTGTATGCATGTTCAAGACTGTCCTGCATCCTCCTGAGCCACCTGTGTCTGGTCATTGTCCAGGCCCACGCCATGACTTATTCGGCGCTTACGTATATACTATGTAGGGCACGCATCGAAAAACATCGAACTATGTAGCGCCGTCTGTCGGGCTTCTCACTGGTTCCGTCTCCGCCGCAGAAAGCCGCTGTGGCAAAACTAACAAAAGGGCCAGCAGGCTCTGATTGTTGTTTGAACAGTTCGGGTGTTAGACGATGGAGGCCATCTGAACGCTCAGCGCTAGGACTGCCGGACTCTGTTGTTCGTTGGAAGCTGCCACCACGCAGCTAGGAAGTTCAAAAAAACTCGTGCGCAATGTGCACGAGTTTGACGTCCAAGTTCAAGTGCTTGGGTTCTTGAACTTTAGCAAAGCTAGTGTCAATAGATCAACGTATATCAACGTTCTATTTGGGCTCCCGCGGATTGCTTTCAAGGATGTCGACAAGCTCGTTTGCACTCACCGGCGTATTACAATTCGCCACGCACTCCGGCATGGCCTTAGCAAGTAAAATAGGGTTGTGAGGCCCAATATACTATCATTATAATAATATGGAAACCTCAAAATGGTATTGGCCCTACATTAAGGATTCAGAGTTTACAGGGTTTCGGACGCTCGGGGAAGTTTGGAGAGTTTAGAGCGGCCGGAAATCCTAAACCCGAAAGGGGCCTTGACACTTAGGACAGGGTTTGCGGTATGCTTTACTACAGGATAACTATAATAAGGAACCCCGAGGACCAAATCATGCAAATTGCCCAGGCTGTCATACCCTACGGATTCTGAGGTTGCATACCTCTACGCTTAGTAATTCGCATTTTTGTAGAGCAGCAGGTGTCCTGCGAAGGATAAGTGCTGACGCTCAAGGCTGATCCCTAAGCCTAAACCCCAATGAAGCCAGGCACCACGTCTGGTTCAGACGAGCAGCCTTCGCAGGTAATCAAGCAGCATCTTCATCATTTTGGCAATGTCCTTCTCCAAAACATCACGTACCTTGATGCGCCATGCTTCACATGTTCGAACTTTTTCAGGATCTCTTTTGCCAGCTGCAGTGTGTGTAGGGTTGATAGGCTTTACTAGGATACTCAGTAACCTAGGAATAAAAAGGCCTCTCTTTTTGGTATTGGGTAACTTTATAAGGAACCTAGGACTAGAAAAAGTACAACTGGGCATGCTAGTTTAGGTTTGGCGGAATTGCGTGGAGGATGCGAGGTTCGGGATACAGGGAGTGGGCTAAAGGGAACTCCAGAAAGTTGGAATATGGTTTCATGGTAGGATCCCCTATAATTTACCTTACAGGGGTTACGATAATGATATTCCAACTTTCTGGCTTCTACTGTAAGACATCAGGGCTGCATGATTGGGGACTGCACGTACGCATCTAGAGTGTGCTAGGAGCGGCAAAATTTAAACCTACGAACTTCAAGTCGTAGACTTGAAGTTCTCGTTACCATGCTCGGTCTACTTGATGTGCCAGGCGCCTGCCTGTTAGAGTGTATAGGGCATGGGTCTCAAGTTTGGGTGGTCTGACGAAACTACGGTCCATGGCGCAGCTTGCTAACGCAACGCATGATGCAGCTGCCTGATGCAAGCGTGCTTACATTATATCAAGCTAGCTACCACTACAGTACATACGATACCTTATAAATGTCTCACTTCGCGTTGCATGACATGACAAGTGCATTGCATACGTTGACAGTTTTTCCAGGACCGCGATAGGGCTGGACAGGGTTCTACGGGGCTTTAAAAGGAATCAACCACAATCCCAACCACATCGCTGAGCCCTCGACCTTCCAAATCTCAGAATACATCCAAAACAGATTTGGGGTTCTAAGATTCTATGCTATAGAACGATATAGGAACCCTGGGGAACAGGGTTCCTTTGTCATTTACGGCCCCCCATTTTTTTGAAAGGTCGGAATATCAGGCCGCTCGCCTGAAACTCCATGAAGACGTGGGGATTGAACTTCTCAATGTACAAGACCTCACGATCTAAGATAACAGTCTCCCCCTACAGTAGAAGCCAGAAAGTTGGAATATCATTATCGTAACCTCTTTAAGGTAAATTATAGGGTATCCTACCCTGAAACCATATTCCAACTTTCTGGAGTTCCCTTTAAAGCTCTATCATTACGGTCTCCACCCAAGGATCTAAGATAACCGCTTTCCCCCTAAGGATCTAAGAGTACGGTCTCCCCCCAAAAGTCCAAGATAACGGTCACCCCCTAAGGGTCTAAGATAAGGGTCTCTCCCTAAGGATCTAAGATAAGGGCCTCTTCCGAAGGCTCCAAGTGTACAAATGGTGCCCACTTTGGGGTCTGAAGTCTACACGCGGAGCATAGGCGTCTTACTAGCTTAAACAGGGTTTCGGGGTGCATCACGTTTAGGGGGTATTAAGCTCAGGGGTTTAGGGGCTTAGTATAACAGGTATAACAGTTTGCCAATCTAATCTCGTTATGGACCCAAACTACACTCCTTTATACCCCAAATACCCACTATTAAGGGCCATAAGGACTCTTTTCGTATGTAACACTCTAATCTCGTTATGAAGGCTAAGGGTCCAGAGCTTCGCAAGGAAAGCTTGGGGCTTCTATTTCGGGCAGCACCCAGAGTTTGCAATATCCCTCAGTTCACGTGTGTGTGTGTGTATAGGTATATATATATATATATATATATATATATCTATGTATTCCTTGAAGCGAACCCCAAGCTAAGAGCCCTTACCTTACTTAAAGATCCGAGCCCAAAACCTGCAACATTCATGCAATATCGGCCTGTTGGGATGTCGGGCTATATTATATTATAACATGTTATGCTATATGATACTATGTTAAACTCTATTGTGCTATCTTATATAATATAGTACAATATCATACTGTGTACATATGTATTTAAGTACTGTTAATTGCTATTATTATTTCGGGCTGAAGACTTGTGAGTTCAGGCCTTGGGGGTGCCGGGTTCGTATGTATTTAGGTAGGTAGATCGGTCGGAGGGTACGTGTTTATGTGGGTGTGTAAGTATAAAGGGGATACTAGAACCAGTCTCACCGCTACGCTGTACTGAAGGTCGGCGTATTGGTTTGCTCGAGCTTCGGGAATGATGGTTTGGGATTTGCGATGGCTGGCAGTTTTTCCCCGACACTCCCAGCATAAGACAAACGAGCTACAATTAACGTCCTGAGCGTAAACGCTCAACCTAGTACGTAGACCTCCATATGGGCCATATTTCTTTATCTTGTTGAGTCGCAGCACGGTTCAGAGCTTAGGGTTTAGGATTTGGGTTTAGGTTTAGGGGTGAGGGCTTAGGGTTTGGGGGAGTATCCCCGACAGAGCACCCAAATTCTTCCATACCTGCTGCTCGTGCTGTAAGCACACATACACCATATACGTACACACACATACACACATCGACAAGAAAGTTGTCAATGAAACAATATGAAACCGGATGAGTCTTGATTGAGAGCTTTCAACAGCAGAACCTCCCCCCCCTCCCCCAAACACTAAACCCTAAACAACAAAAAAGCGAAACCTTGACACCGAATCCATGGCTCGGGATTGCGTCGTTTACCTGGGGGGACTTAGGATGGCTTTAGGGGCTTTAGGGTCGAGGGTTCAGGAGTTCACGGATGAGGGTCTACCCTCAGGGTCTATGTACCCAAATAGTATATACTTTGGCCTTATTATAATACTCCCTAAGTGCATTGAGCCCAAAGAATATACTATTTGGGTACATGGAGCCTTAGGGTCTGGGGCGTCGAATCTCAAGTGCGATCTCAGCTAGGATGCTCAGAAGCCCAACTTCAACCTCCCGCCTAGCACCTTCCAAGCCCAAAGCGTCCAAACAATGGTATAGTATATACCTTTGGGGCCCAAATACCTACTAAGTACCTACTAGAATGGTACTTGGACCCTTTGGGAAGTATTCCTCCAACAAAGCGCATCCAGGGTTCAGGGTTTAGGGTTTATAAAAGCTTTAGAGTTTAGGGTAGAAAAGGGCTGAGCACAACATTTCCCCTAAACCCTAAACCCTAAAGATGTCGCCAGGGCCCCATGCGTCCTTCAAGGCACCCTTGCACTCGTGCCAGAGCATCCCCCGATCCTTTCCGACTTAGGGTTTACCTGGGCCCTGAAGAACCTGGCTTTTGAGGATTCCTGAATATGATTTCCTTGTATTATAGGACCTTGAGGGTTTACCTGGACCCTGAAGAACCTACCTTTTTTAGGGCTCCTGAGTATGATTTCTTTATATAAGTCCTTGATAAGGTAGGTTCTTCAGGGTCCATGTAGGGCTTACCTAACTGCCCTTGTGCTTTTAAGGGTGCTTTGGGGGATGCCTCCCCGGAAGTTGCGAAGCAAACGCTAGACTTCCCTGTTTGCTTAACCCCAAGGGCCCACGACCCGCCCATGTGCCCAAATAGTGTATACTTTGGGCCCAGTGTACCTACATAGGGAATACTTTAAGGCCCAAGTATATACTACCGGGTTACAGGGACCCTTAAACCCTAAACTCCTTATAGAACCCCTATGGAAGCCTTAAAGGCAGCCTTTAAAGGAACCCTTTTTGGGCACATGGACCCTTAAACCCCTGAACCCCTTAAAGAACCCTTAAAGGCAGCCTTTAAAGGAACCCTATTTGGGCACATGGACCCTTACCCTAAGGGTCCAAGTACCTAATTACCATGCACTCTCAAAAATGATAACCTACATATCTACTATCATAGACCCGAGTACCTAACTACTGGGTTCTTCGGACCCTTAAACCCTAAACCCCTTGTAGAACCCTTTAAAGGCACCCGTTGAAGGAACCCTAGTTGGGCATGGAGCCTTAGGGTAAGGTACTTGGTTTAGTCGAGAACGACATAGAAGTGGCGAGTCTCGGATTTCGGATCTGGGGGCGTTAAAAATTAGATAGCGTCCCTTACAGCGTTCCTTTTACAGGGCTCTAAAAGGAGTTACTATAAGGACTACTACTATAAGGGTTCTATAATACGGGGGCCCGAATCATTAGAATAGGGTTTTGGTGCCCTTTAAACTAGAATTATAATAAGGAACCCCCCAAAAAATATCGTATAAGCAATTATTGAGGCCCTGCAGTGCAGTGCCCTGTGGTGCCTTGCGTACGGTTCAGGGCTTAGGGTTTAGAGTTTAGGGTTCAGGTTCTGTTTTTCGGGTTTCGGGTTTGGGGGCTTAGGGTCTAGAGTTTAGGGGTTAGTGCGCATATCCCCACAAGGGAACAGCAATCTTCACTCAGCAAGATTTTCGGGAGCCGTACATTGAGAACCTGTCAATTGAATATGCCGGGCTGGGGCATGAAATATGTATGTATGTATGTATGTATGTATGTATGTATATATATATATACACATATACTATACACACACCTATCTAATAAAAACCTAGAAATATATATATATATATATATATATATAATAAATATATACGTACAGGCCTTAAGACTAGAGCCTGGGGTCTATATTCAGGGACTTTAGGATTCCAGATTTCAGGGTGCTGAAGGTTCAGGTAGTAGGTTTGCGTGTATGAATCATCACACCGTGCGAGTGAGCTTGAACCTTACCCTACCTAACCTCCTCAAAGTAGGTAAAATAATGGCCCACTACCAATAAAAGGCTATGATTCTACATACTTTGCGGGTGCAGCTAGGGCTCAAAGTGTGCAAAGAATACCTAAAGCCCATAAATAGTCTCTACTTTGGGCTACTTTGAGCCCCAGGAATAATGTTCAACCTCAAGAACTATACCCGCCAGCAGGTGTCGAAACTCAAGACGAGCTGTGGCTGTGAACCTGACCGTGAACCCCGAATAACCCTGTAGGGTACTTAAAGGATCATGGGACTTAGTAACTAGGGTTATAATTAGGGTACCTTTAATTATAGCTACTTATAACCCCAATTAAGGCACTTATAGCCTTATTTACTAAGTCCCAAGCATCCCGTATAATACCCTTATAGATCCCCTTACGGATCCCTTTAAGGATCCTTTGTTTAACCTTACTTCCTAAGTCCCATGATACTCCAAGCACGGCTAACTAGCAGGGCTTTGGCTGGAGAAGATCAGGCCGAAATTAGAACAGGCCTTTTCAGGGTTGAGGGTTTCAGGGGTTAGAGTTTAGGGTTCTGAAACCCACAGACCCCTGAACCACTACAAGCGCTAAACCCTCTCAAAGGCAAGCCTGCCTCAGAATCCTCTGGCTTGATGAGGTTCCTGGAGGGAGGCTCCACAATCCAGACTCCGACGCCTGAACAACCTTCATGATCATAGTAACAGTAATATAACCATAGCAAGAGTAGTAGCAGCAAAAACCAGAAGAAATAATAGTGACAGCAATAACATCAATAATGGTAACTCAGTACAGTAATATTGATAATCATTAATAGTAATAACAGTAATCAGAAAACAATACTAGTAATCCTAATAGTATGTAAAAGTAATAACAGTAAATAGAACTCATAGTATTACAAATCCTGGAATCCGAAGGACAAGCCCAAAGACCTAAATTAAGCGGTCATCTGCAACCATCTCCGAAGCTGTTCAAGCCCACGTCGTTTTAACATTCAACTTGCCTCCCGGCTTACTAGAAGGCCATGGGGCTCGGTCTTGGAGTCTATAGGCTTTGGTTTTTAGGGTTTGAGGTTTAGGGTTTGGGGGTAGGGCTTGGGATCTATAGGGTTTGGGGTTTAGGCTTTGGGGGTTTAGGGTTTGGGGTTAGGGCTTTCTGGTTTAGCGGTTGGGCTACAGGGTTTGGGGTCATGGTCTGTTGTTCAGGGCTTGGGGTTTAAGGTTTCAGGGCACTTGATTTGTGTTTTGTCGAAGGCTCTTTTGAGGCAGCCCATGCTTCGTTGCCTGGTCTCAATATGGGATCCTAACCAGAAAATAAATTCTCCCACAAAGTGTACTACATTTGTAGGGCTAGGCGAACCCTCCAAACTGCCTCAAGCTAGGAGTTGTCTCAGCAGAAAACTGTGTCCCAAGTCAACTGGAGCTAAAAGATACTGCAACTCCCAAGTTGAAGCTTGCGCAACTCCACAGAATGATGTATAGGGTTCCTTTGAGGGTTAATAAAAACAGAAAGGGACCCTCCATAAAAAGCTTTTCCTACACAGGGGTTACTTCAACAAGGATGGCCATAAGGGTTTAGGGCAAGGTAGCGCGGAGCGGGACTCTAGTGCAGGGTCCGTCCTCAGAACGCGGGCGGTTTTCCAAGCAAACAGCGCCAGGTCCTGGCAGCTTTCGGGGCTTGCACGTGTTCCTAGGAGGGTTTAGGGTTCAGGGGTTTGGGGTTCAGGGTGTATAGAAGTGCAGTAACCTACGCAGCAGTTTCATCTGTTCTGGGCACAACATGCTCGTACAGGGCCTACTTGGCTGTAGTCCACCATGGAGGTTCCACTCTATATATAAGAGTTAACCTGGCTTGTAGGGTGGTGTGATCAGAACATGCAATCTCCACGCATTGATTTGGGAGTAGAGTCGTTGTTCCCGAGTCCGGTTTCTGTTATTCAGGACCTGTGGGATCCCGAATATTCGGAATCTCCCATTTGGGAATAGTCTTTGGGAATTTGTTGAGGGAGTGGCCTAGAGCAGTTCTGTTCGGGCCTGGGTGCTTTGACACTGTTCAGGGTTTAGGGTCTATGGGCCCATCTGGTATGTACTTATGTAGGCCTTCAAGTGGCTGCTAGCTAGATAATTTAGGATCGAAGCACATACTACATGAGACCATATGGGTACGCAGATAGTTGGGAATGCTCTCCTATAGCTTTGTGGAGGATGACCCAAGCTACATCGTATGAACTAGTTTGCGGTCATGGCTTTAAGAAAACACGCCTACACAGGTGTCGAGATTGAACTGAAGAGGAATCAACATTCCCGACGCCCTCCGAAGCATAAATATGGAACGTACGAGGGCCGATGCCCTAAACCCTAAACTCCTCGGGCACCATAGACTACTTGCTTGTAATTAATCCCGGATTTAAGGCTGAGGGGTAAGTTCCAGCCTTTTGGGTTCAATGCTTAAATTAAAGTCTAAGAGTTGTGTGATTGGGAGCGAGCTCGGACCACCCCTTGCCATGATCTGCCCGTGCTGCCTTGCGAGAGCTCGCTTGCTCGTTGTAGATGTTAGCCTCCACCTGCCACAAACCCTAAACCGTAAGCACTGGCGTTGCCAACTCTGCAGTGCGTGATGCAAGGTGGCGGGCTTCTGGTTCGTCGTGTGGATCCTATTGCTGTCGCCGGCTGTGAACTTTGTTGATTTACGTCCGGCTTCGGGGCGGGATTACACACCTCCATAATTGCACCCATGAACACATATACATATATATATATATATACATGTGTATATATATATATATATATATATATATATACACACATACATGCATGCATGCATGCATGCATGCATACATACATACATACATACATACATAATTACATACATACATACATACATACATGCATACATACATACATGCATACATACATGAATAATACAAACAATGGATACGTACAAGAGTAAGTGCGTATATCTAGCGACTGCAGTACTTGTTCTGCATATGCGTGCTCGAATATGGCTGTATTAGTTTGTTGGTCGTGTGCAACGGAAGGAAAGCTAAGCAAGTGCGTAAGTAGGTAGGCAGGTCGCTAGGTAGGTAGGCGGGTCACTATACTCTCGATTAAAGTGGTATGCGTCAGACTCTGCAGAGTGCAAGTGACTGCAAGTGTTTCTGCGTGTCTTTCGCCATGTGAGTTGTATCGTGAGGACCCCAGTAGAGAGACCTCCATGGTTTGCTTTGTGCAAAGGTCGGCAAAGCAGAGGTGCCTGCTCCAACTTCGCCTCAAGCTCCTGAAGTTGGAGTCTCTGACAGTCCCTAATGGATGAGCGAAGAGTTCGGAATCTCACGAGAACGATAACATGTCTCATTCTGCAAGTCGAGATCGTCATCCGGAAATGACTATCGCCATCTGGGGATCAGCCCAATACCCCTTGGACGGGCACCGTCGAAAGCCAGGCCGTAACAGTTACTTCTCTAAGAACAAGAGATCGCGAGGACTTCAGCCTACAGGGCACAGTGGTTTGGGCTTGGAGCATTCAGGCCCTGCTATTTGGCTCATGTGGTTGCAGGTTTTTTGGGTTGGCTCTGCAAATTCTGCAGCTACCATTTCAGCTACGGCGAAGTTAACAAGTCACTACCAGTAACCAGTAGCTGCTTTCGATCTAGCTACAAGGCTGTAGGATATCCTTACGGTTAAAACCCACCTACTACATGGGCGCACGGATGAGAAAAACACGGCAAAGCTTCATGCTGATGTCCTGGATGACATTCTTCAAGACCGGTGCCTTGGCACGGGAAACAGGCGCGCTAGTTACAGTGCGATGATTACTTGGACCCCAAATAACCTGCCTTCTGAAGGACTTATACAAAGAACTCATTCAAAGGAACCCTAACTGTTACTACGAAGATTATTCTCGCTATTACTGTTATGACTAGTGTTTCAGTCATGCCGCTTCGTGGGCTTAAGGTTTAGGGTTTCGTTGCTTCAATAGGGCGACAAGGTTCTGTAACCACTAAGCCTAAGCCGCTCATTCCCGCTTAGACTTTCTCCGAGTTAGAACCGAGTAGAAGGAGAAGTCGCGCAACCACCCCTCAGGGTCCATGTACCCAAGTAGTATATACCATGTACCCAAATAGTATATACTGTAGGCCCAATGTACCTATATAGGGAGTACTTCAAGGCCAAAGTACATACTGTGTGAGTAGATGGGCCCTTAGGGTACGAGCGAAGCACCTTGCAGCCTAATAATTAGAATAGGGTTTTGGGGCCCATTATACTATAACTATATTAAGGAGCCCTAACAATACTGTTGGTAATTATTGAGGCCCCTATAGTATCCCGACGCCGTCCCTTTTGGCTGGATGCACACCGATGAACATGGAGCTCATTTCTGGCTGGACATCAGGCTCGCGTCCGTTAGCGGCTTGTACACTCCTTCCATGGACTTCACAAGTGCGCCTCCAGTTAGGGTCTGTTCGAGTGTAGTTGAGGGTCTAGGTAGTTGACATAAGGTACGTCAGTACAAGATAGCACCATAGCAATGTCCATACGATATAGTAAAATGCCTGAGAGGTTCAATTCCAGGCCTGCGATCGAAATCTGGGTGCTGTCGAAGATGTCGTTGTGCGAGGTTTGGGATGTGGTGTTCCGGTGTTGGAAGGTTAACATGGGTTGGCTCCGGGGGGTTTCAAGGGTCAGGATATGCCCTTGGTTGGAGGTCAGGCCGTGCTCAAGCCAAAGCCAACAAAAAGATTGAGCTTTTCTCGGACCCCATAGATAGATCTCCGTCTTGGCCCCTTATACCCTAAACCCTAAACCCCTAAACCCTAAACCCTAGACTCCCGAGAATACTCACAGCCCAAGAGGAACTCGATAAGCCCGTGGCCAACGCCATCGCCGAGATCGGGGCAAGGACCTTCATCGGCCACCCATTCTATCATAAAACCCTAAACCCTAAACCGGGACCCGTAAAGGAACCCTTAAAGGGCTCCCGATTGTCATAGAACCCTGCTGTAGTACCCTTGAAGGGACCCTTAGGTGGGTAGGAGGGAGAGGGGTAGGGGACTGAACTTCCTGAAAAAAAGCCTGAATAAACTCTTGTCCAGTCCTTGTTAGGGCTAGTAAGGCCCCATACCCCCCTCCCCCTTATCCCCGATGGTACCTTATGATTCCAGCTTGGAGGTAGGGCTCATGGGGTTTGGGTTGATACCCAAGGGTGCTGAATCTGAAAGTCGCCAGGGCTGACGGTGATTCCCAAAGGGCCCAAAAGGTCCAAAGTACTGTTTTGGGGGGATACCTCCCCAAATCATAACAGTAATTCCTAACATAGGAACCCTACATTCTACCATAAAGGTACTTTGGACCCAATTTGGGATTATGATGCATCGTGAAGCCGATACAGCAGGGCTTTTGAACCCTAAATATGAGGTTTGAGATTTGGGCTGGATAGGGGTTTGGGGTTCAGATCTCAAGCCAGAACCCAACTGAAGCTTGAATTCGGATTTCGAATTACCTAGATAGTCTGGCGCTCAAGCCCCAAACCCTCCCAAGTTTAGGCGTTTCCATCAGGGAGGCAGTTTTTCAGAAGGCTTCAGAGCAAGGGAAACAGCGCCAACAGCGCAGCTCATGTAAACACTGGCAGTCCAACTAGATCAGGTACTGCAGGCAATCTAAGCTTCTGCCCGTCGACAACGACTTGAAGCCTGTGAAGGACACAAAGTGCAGACTGCGCAATGCGCTATGCCGCTATGAGAATCCAAAGACTCCAATATCCCTTAATTAGGGAATATTCCTTAAATCATATTAGGGATCCTACTATAATTTAAGGTATATTCCTTAATTAAGGGATACTGGAGTCTCTGGGAATCCACTAATTAACCCCAACGAGGCGAGCCAAAACATAGCATGGAGCACTGCTGGTTGGAGTACTTGCCGTCCGTGGAGCCGTACGCAAGCCATGCCAAGTGAAACCCCGGTATGGAGCCCGAAAAGACTTTGTATGTCTTGGCGCTTTGGGAGGCACCGTGCTTCACTTGCGGCATCATGTTGTTTGCCAACTTCGCCTTCAAGACGCTGGGCACTTCACTTGCGGCATCATGTTGCTTGCCAACTTCGCCTTCAAGACGCTGGGCAGCTTCTCGACCTCTGCACCCCAATGGTCCCTGCTGGTTTTCATGTTGAGGTCCTTCAGACCCCAGTATACAGGTGTCGTTTCAGCAGCCCCCGAGATGATTTACAACTAGGGCTCTATAGTAAACAATAAGGAAAATTAACACTTTCTTGTCGAGTATCATGGGGAACGTATAGTTAACCTCAGGGATTCTATAGGGTCTATAAAGCCCCGAAAAACTCAAAGGCTACCTACTTTACTACTAAGAAAGCCACTCCAAATCGATGCCATTGGATGCCTAGTGCAGAAGCCCCACTACATCAGGGACGTCCTTAGCTCTCAGACGTTCATGCGAAGCAGCGACCCTCACACGACCAGCAGCTTTGGATTTAGGGGTTGAGGGTTTAGGGGTTGTGGGTTTAGGATATTAGTGGCCAGGCATGCGCTGAAGAGACACCTTTTTTGAGGAAGTGAAGACATGCAGATTAATCTTACATTGCCAGTAGAGGCGGCAAAATGACTAGAGCAGCTTGGCGAGTATGCTAGACCACACAACGATGTACCCTCACCAATGTAGGAGTAGGAGTAAGAAATAGGAAGTTGCAGAACCATGGGCTCCTAATGTAGGAACCTAATGAAGAAAACCCTGGGCCTATAGCCCCCAAAGAGTAGGATTCATATAAGGAAGCCGAATAAGGGCCCAAGGTTTCTTCACCAGCTTCTTAAGTTCACAATACCTTAAACCTATATCTGTAAGCATCCACATCGTCCTGAATTTGAACGAAGTCATGGTTGGGATAGGATTAAAAATTTAAGTTGTCCTTCCTTATTGGGTTTACGTACCCATAGCAATGTAAAAGGTTACCCAACTACGACAAAGTGAAATGTAAAGTTCCCAGGTCCGAAACCCGATCAGAGTCAAGCTAGCCGTAGTTGAGCAAAACTCCAAGCTCTGACTTTGAGCTATCGCGCGTTAGGGTTTGGAGCTTCGTATAGAGTGTAGGGTTACATCTGGTTCCAATTCTGTCAATTACCCCAAGGGTCCAAAGGACCCAATGATTAGGTACTCGGTTTCAGGATAGCAGTTACGTAGGATAGAATTTTGGAGAGTTTATGATTATTGGGTACTTGGACCCTTGGGGCCTTGGGGTTCCACAGTTGGGGATCTACGAGGTCAGACTTTACAGGCTTAGGCTGTGCGGTTCGGAGCTCTTGAACTACCTAAATATAGGGGCCTTACTAACTAGAATAGGGTCTGGGGGTATACTATACTGCAGTCACAATAAGGAGCCCTCATACCAAGAAGGTCCATAAACATTCCTATTATGGAATCAGGGCCCCAAAACCATAGCCGGGATGGTTTTTGGGACCTAATTCCATAATGGTAGTGTGTATGGACCCTCTGGGTTACAAAGCAGTGGGTCCCCAAGCTTACTAATCCGCCCTGATCCCCTGGACAATGCTGAGTGGGCCTGCTAGCACGGCATCACACAGCAACGGACGGAAGACAGGCACTGTCCGGGATTACAGGTGTCCTAAGCTCTATAAAGCCTATAAGGTTAAAGGTTCACGGGCTTGGATCAAGGGTTCACAAGCCTCAAGGTTTGAAGGGTCATCGAGGGTTTTTTTTATGCTGCTGCCCCCATTTTTTTTGGCCTGCGCTTCAGAGCCTTCAAACTGTGTGATCGTGTCCTTATCTTTGTGCGAGGTGGCAGTTTAAGCGGGTTGTGGTTTACGCTACGGAAAGTGCTAAACTGTCCATGGTTAAACGAACTTACAGGGTTAGCGGATGATCCTACACTGCGTGGTGCTGGAGCGGGCTGACCGGCATGAGCCTTACGCTTCAGGGTTTAGGGCCTCTGGGAGCATCCACCAGTTCTTCCAAAGTTGGAGCTACCTAGACTTTCAATGCGATTCGTGTACTTGCGAAACAACCGTCGCATTTCATGGAACCTACAAGAACCAGAGACTGCTCACATATGTATATGCATCTATATATATATATAATATATATATATATATATATATGGCTTCAGCTTTAGGATTCAGGGTTTCGGATTCCGGGCTTCGGGTGTAGGATCCGAAGCAAATTCCGTAGACACGAAGGCAGCACTTCTCAGCCATGGTGTATTGAAGTCTAGAGTTCAGGGTGTAGTGTTGAGGGCTTGAGGGGTGACAATGTGGTTCGGGGACTTCAATAGTAGTTTGACATTGGAGTTAAAGGTGCACAGATGCTTCGTCTTTCCACAACCATGCCCACTCGCCTGTTTACTTGGAGTTCTCGTCACAACCTACTAAGCCCTTTCCCCCCATCCAAGTGGGGCTGTCGGGCTGAACCATATTAAACCTGAACCTAATGTCCAAACACTAGTTTTAAGCGGCTCAGGGAAAAGGGTTTCGACATGTTTCGACCACGCCGTTGCCATTGTATGTGAAGGCTTCGGGATTTGGGCCGATCCTGCCGTTCTGACACTGCTGCTCCTGGTACTGCCACTCTCTACGATGACGCCTACTCGACCTACTCCTATCACCCGCACCACCACCAACAACACAAAGAATGACGACGGTGACAACAGCAATAGCAGCAGCTTCGAAGACAGGCAGGGACACAGACAACACAGACACAGGCCGAGACAGATACAGGAGGACGCAGAGATAGGTACACAGACGGACGGACGGATTGACGGACAAACGGACAGATACCCACACACACACACAAGCACCTCAACAACATCACTGTAAACAATGTGCACTGCATACAACGAACAGCTCACTCGTACATTCGCAATCACTCGTGTGACAACGAACACGTGCAAACAGGAGATAAATAAATAAATATATATATATATGTATATATATATGTACAAATATATATATGTATGTATGTATGTATGTATGTATATAAGTTTTTTATGTCCATGACGACCGGGAGGAGATCGATCACAAACACGACAACGGCCAAACCGCTCCGAATGCCACAAGCAGTTCTGACTGTGCGAGGCAAAACACTACAGCAGTGCAGAACTCACGTGTATGCAATGTCCCCGCACCTTTCTCACCGAATCCGGCTGCACAGTCCGGGAGCAGGGCAGGAGGAAGCTAAGGTCCTGTAATATAACATGATGGTTTTCTTTGCTGAAAAGTATATATCATATCAACCAATAGGGGCTTTTCAAGATTACAATATACAATACATGTAAACTGAGATATCTGATAAACTGTCATACGTTATATAATATAATACACCGTATAGTACAAATGATGCGATGCAATATGAACTATGACGTAGAATATACATATATAGTGACCTTTAAAATAGACATTACACAAACTTATACAGTATAACACAAGTATTACGCAATACATGTACGTAGCCTAGGAGGACAAAGGCCAATTGCTGCACTCTGACCCTTTCCTGTCCCGCCACCCGCGCGGCACCAAGACTACTACTGCAGAAGTTTGCAGGCGCCGTCACGACACGGAGCTTGGGCTTAGGGGATCATGGGACTTCGTAACTAGGGTTATAATTAGGGTAACTCTACTTATAACTACTGATAAGCTCAATTAAGGTACTTATAACCTTCGTTACTAAGTCCCATGATCCTCCAAGTAGGGTTTGGGCCCTAAACCCTAAACCCTAAACCCTAAACCCTAAACCATTAAGAGTTTAGGCGAAAGAGGACAATGGGGACTGAGCTGCAAATCACGCGGTGTGCTCTTCAGCCTCGCCGAAGCTGCCAAAAGAAGATTGAGGGTTTATATAGGGGCTTAGGGTCTGAGGGTTT